AAAAGCCCCACCTTCCAAAAACCATAACATTCCACCCCTGACCCCCAAAAGATTCATCTGCATGCCTTTGTGCAAAATGCGTTTAGTCCAACTCTGAGTTGCCAAACTCCTAACAGTTTCACCGTTACTGAGAAATCCAAATCCAAAGTCTCCTTTGAGATTCAAGCCAAACTCTTACCTATGAGCCCCTGTTTAAAAAAGAAAAAATTAAACTCTGCCAACATACAATAGTGTAGGGTAAACATTCCCATTCCAAAAGGGAGAAATAGGGACATAGAAACCAATAGGACCAAAGCAAGATTGATACACAGTATGGCAAACATTAAATCTTGTAACTCCATGTCCAGCACCCAAGGCAAGCTGTGGTGATGTATGAACTCCCAAAAGCTCGTGTGGGCCCACCCCTATGATATTGCCAGTGATTCCAGCTCTCACAGCTTCTCTTCTGGGCTGGTTTTGTTCATCCCTTACGGCTTTCCTCAGCAGAAGTTCTATGTTGTTGCCATTTCTAACTTCCTAGGGTCTATGCTGCACTTTCAGCTTCACTCTCAAAGCTTCATGCTCAGCCCTCTCTGGCCTTCCAGACCTTCTTCTGAAATCTGGGTGGAAGCCTCCATGACCCCACAACTCTTGTATTCTGCATGCGTATAAAATCAGCACCACATGCACGATGCCAGGGTCTGCTGCTGGCTTGAGCAGTAACCAGACTCCCTTGAATCAAGGCTGCAGAAGTCTCTAAGGGTCTGGATAGCTATATACTATGAACTGAATCCCAGAAAACAAATTTCCTAGGCAGCCATTTTCTTTCTCAAAGCCTGGGGATCCCTTCTCCAAGCAAATTCTTTCAGTTTTACAATTTTGAGCCTGTGATGGGTGGGGCCTTGATGGTTCCTCTCAGGCCCTCAGACCATCTTTCCTGTCGTCCTGTTGTAAAGTACTTAGCTTCTTTTAAATGGTAATCTTTTCAACCACCAAGCTCTTCTGTGCTCTATTTTTGCAGGAAATTCCTTTCTAGGAAAACCGAAGACTTTTTAAATGGACTTGTTGCACCTGTTTCTCAGTATAAACCTAGCTAAAAGCAGCAAACAGTATCTATGCTACAGCCTGCTTTGGACTGCTTTGAAATTCCCTCCACCAGATTAATTAGATCACAGCCCTTAATCTCAGTCTTCCACAAAGTCTCAGTATATGAGCAAAATGCAGATAAATTTTTCACCAGAGTATAACACACCTTGTTTGGAATCCTACTGTCAATGGAATACTTGACCTCTTTTTTTTTTTTTTTTTTTTCGGTGATCGAACTCAGGTCCTTGCACTTGCACAGCAGGCGGTGAAACCACTGAGCTAAATCCCTGGCCCAACCTCTTTTTTTTTTTTTTTTTCAAATTTTAATTTTCATTAGTATGTGTTTGCAGTACATAATGATTACATTCATCTCAGGGAGTTGGTACATGTACATAACGCATCTTAATTCTTTTTTTTTTTTTTTTCTGGTACCAGGGACTGAACTTGGGACCGAACTTGGGACCTTGTGCTTGCAAGGCAGGTGCTGGAACCACTGAGTTAAATCCCTGGCCCATTAATTCTTTTTATGTCCCCTTTCCTTCCGCTCCATCTCCCCTTCCCCAAAATGAAACCTCTTGAGCCTGGTCCTTACCATCTGAATTACTGTCAGCATCCTGGTCTTCTGAGCTCTGACTAGAATCTCCCATCAAGCTTGGCTTATAGCATTCTTCTCTAGCCTTCATCTCCAGACCTTTCCAAACTTCTCTGACAGATTCCAAAGGCTTCTGAACCATGTAGTCAGGTAGTGTCACAAGAATGACCACACTTCTCTGGTACAAAAATCTTACTTTCATCATTGCTGAGACATAGTGCCCAACACCTGCAAATTAAAGGAGAAGTTTATTTTGGCTTATTTTTCAGTCCATAGTTGGCTGGCTCCAAGGCAGGAAGTCATGGCATAGGGGCATGGTGAAGGAATAGCTAGCTGCTCACCTTACAACAGATAGGAAAAAGAGAGAAGGGAAGTGCTGGGGAAGAAAGTAAACCTTTTTATTTTATTTTATTTATTCATTTTGGCTTATTTGAGACATGATCTCGCTATGTAGTTCAGACTGGCCTTGAACTCACTTTGTAGCCCAGGCTGGCCTCCAACTTGCTGTGATCCTGCTGTGTCAGCTCCCCACACCAGTGCTGTGATTACAGGCATGTGCTACAACACCCAGGTAAAAATAAACCCTTCTAGGCTATGCCTCCAGTGGCCTCTCCAACCAGACTATACCTCCTCAGAGTGAGTCAGCTATAAGTCCCACCTATGAGTACATGAGGCTTTCAGGGTCCATCTATATTCATCATAGAGTCTCTGTCTGATAGTTCCAACATCTAAGTCCTCTGTAAATCTGGTTCTTTAAAAATTATTTTATTTTATTTTTTTTGTATGGGGGATCAAACTCTGGACCTTGCACTTACAGGGCAGGCAGCAGCACCACTGAGTTAAATCCCCAGCCCTATTTTATTTCTTTTTTTTTTTTTTGGTACCAGGGATTCAACTTGGGTCCTTGTGCTTGTGAGGCAAGCAGCAGAACCACTGAGCTAAATCCCCAGCCCCTTATTTTATTTCTTAACAGTGAGGCTTATTCTACTTCTTTCTTGCTTTTATCCATGTTTGTTTGTTTGTTTGTGGCAGTACTAGGGATTGACCCCAAAATTTTTGCACTGAGCTATATCCCTAACTTAAAAAAATATATTGACATAGGGTCTCACTGAGTAGCCCAGGCTGGGCTCAAACATGCCTCAGCTTCCTATAGAATGCTAGTATATTTTCTGTTGAATACCATATGTCCTGTGTAGAGAGTAGTAGACACTAAGATAAACAGCATTTCTATCTGACAAGGATGAAACCAGTCTGTCATTAGTTGAGCAGGATTTTGGTTTCTTTGCTTCTAACATTACCCTCAAGGCACATAAGGCTTCAGACTTCTCCAGCCATAGCCTGCTAGTACACTAATATGGAAGCTGGGAGGCCAGGGGGGCTTTTCATTGTTCTAGTTACACTATCAGCTTTGAGTAATTCCTATGTATCTGTGCCACAGAGTGGCTCTATCTTTACTCTTGTACCTCTCTGGCACTGGTGGACTGCTGTTACTGGTTATTTGGTGCGTGTTTGTAGGGAGGTGAAAGGGGGCTCCTGGTTCTCTTGTTTCATCCTCAGCCTTGGCACATGTCCTCAGCTGCAGGGGTGAGGCCTTTTCAGCATTCCTGCACCCTTTTCTCTCTGGCAGTCAAACTCTGCTTTGGTTGTGGTTGATCCTGGGGAAGAGAGAATTGTTTTGCCCCTCTCCAAGGGTGACAGACCTATACTTTGTAGGATCCTGGGCCCAAGAGGGCTGAAGGCAACCAGGGGTTGGTGCCTTTTGCTTCTGCTCTTTCCCTGGAAGCAGTGGATTTTGGCTGGTTATTTGCCTAAAAGGAATCTCCTACTTCCTCCCATAGAGGCAAAGGGATTTTTCCTCTAAACCCCTTTCCAGTGGCCCTAGAAGCAAGAGAATTTGCTGCTTCCTTTGAGTGTATGGGAAGCAGGCACTGTTTCATGATTGTCTCAGCAGCAGCCTATCACCTCTTGCACACCTGTGACACTGAGGGGGACCTTGGCCAGCTGCCTGACCCCAGTCTCTCATGGCAGCACTCTGTGGAGGCCTGTACAGAATAGCCTGCAAGTGAATCAAACTCTATTGTGTCTGCTGCTCCCAGTTATTCTCAACTGAGAGGCAAACCCACACCCAGCCTTTAAGACTTTTTGTTTTGCTATTTTAGATGCTTTCTTCTTACTTATTTCTATGGCTGTTACCCTTTCCTCCCGTGCTCTGTCAAAGAATAAAACCATCTTCATAGTTTGAATCTCCTGGGAGGGGTTTTGCACATTTTAGAATTAAATTCCCTCTGTTGTCTTAAAACCTCAGCTTCTTGGGCCGGGGATTTAGTTCAGTGGTTCCAGTGCCTGCCTCCCAAGCGCAAGGTCCCGAGTACGATCCCCGGTACCAAAAAACCCAAAAAAACCCTCAGCTTCTCAATTTTGAACTGCATAGATGAGAAAGCAGTATATTCTTTCTTTCTTTTTTTTTTTTGGTGGTATGAGGGATCAAACCCAGAACCTCATGCAGACTAGGTAAGCACTCTACCACTGAACTGTACCCTCAGCCCAGCAGCATATTCTTATTGCTTTCTGCATTCTAAAGCGAATCAAAACTCCTCCCAAAGCGTGCTTTTGGAATTGCAGCCCTACATTCCCTCCCTAGGCCTTTCATTTCCAAGATTTTGTTTACACTTTACCCCTTAAGATAGGAAGTGGTTGTATCCCCTTCCAAAGGGTGCTGGTCACAAATAGGAAGCCAGAGAAATCAGATGTATCCAGTACAGAGTGATGGGAATCTAGTATTTCCTCTACGCAGAAAATCCTTTCTTGTGCCACCACTTCCTGCTTGAAAAATGAGTGTGCACACCTCCTATGAGGATTGTATTTGTAAGGTATTTGAGACACCCAAGCAGCCACAGAGCTCTTCACGTCATACCTCCCTTGCCAAGAGGTCCCAATGTTTTTGTGTGCTTTATGTCATCTGTCCTCGAGCCATCATGCAACACAGGAGCAGATGGTGGCCCCTGCCTGGAAACTGAAAGAAGGGAGAGGCCTGGAGGTGACACTGTCAGTCCTAAACCCAGACTCTCTGACTCCAGCCTGGCCCCAGCCTAGGCTGCCCCACTGTGCTATGTGTCAAGTATAAGGTTTCCTGGGAAAAAACACAAAAGTCTCCACAGTCATTTGTTCAGAGTTTAAGTGATTCATTTTGTGATTGGATCCTGAAATCTAAGATGGTCTAGTTTTGCAGATAAAAACAGTATCCCAAACAGGATCACATTCCTTAGGAAGAGTTCTGTTTGTGTCAGCATGGAGAGCATGCTAAGTCCCAGTCTCAGGCCTGCTGTCATTTCTTCTTCTGCAGCTCTCGTTGGTGCCTGTGGTGGGAACTACTCAGCCATGACATCCGTGGTCTATTCCCCCGACTTTCCTGACACCTATGCCACAGGGCGGGTCTGCTACTGGACCATCCGGGTCCCAGGAGCTTCCCACATCCACTTCAACTTCACCTTGTTTGACATCAGAGATTCTGCAGACATGGTGGAGCTGCTGGATGGCTACACCCACCGCGTCCTGGTCCGATTCAATGGGAGAAACCGCCCACCTCTGTCCTTTAATGTCTCTCTGGATTTCGTCATTTTGTATTTCTTCTCTGATCGCATCAATCAGGCCCAGGGATTTGCTGTCTTATACCAAGGTAAGACATTCTTACTTACTGAGGGCACCTCAGGACATCAGTGTCTCATGCTTCTCTTTCCCACCAGGGAGACTTTCGAATCTTGGGCAGTTCTGGTTGAACAGACTGGGACAGCAGCTACTGACTCAACTCTGGATTATTCCAATGCACAGCACATTCTCCACCTCCCATTGTACAACTTGTTTATGTTTTAGTTTTGCTATTTTAGTAGTTATAATGACAGTTTTCATCTCAGGGTTAAAAGTATAACTAAAAGAAGGAGCTGAGATTGGCAGAATTGGAAGGCTTTCAAGAGGTCATTTGGTCTACACTCTCACCTCTAAACATCCCAACCAATCCCAAAGACTTATTTACTATCTTTCTTCCAACCCTCTTAGAGTGGAGCGGCACCCTCTACCCCTCTGATGTGAACATGGGTGCCAGGCACCACTCTGCCAGCACCCAAGAAGCATAGGTGTTGAGACCTAGGCTTTGTCCTGAATCACAAACCCCAAGAAGGGTTTAGATGGTGGGTGCTACAAGAGATGGTTGGGAAGAGTCCCTCCCTCCAGGTGGAACAGTCCTAAGGAACAGGTAAGTCTATAGATAGAAAGGAAAAGGTCTTCCAGACAGAGTAAGACAGCTGTAAAGCACAGGGGAAGGAAACAGGAAAACATGCTCAGGTGTCTGCAAGGAGGCCAGTCACATAATTAGAAGTTGACAGCCCCTTTCTTCTGCCTCCTGCAGGACCAGAGCCAGAGCCTCAAGGGTTCTGCTTTGGGGCCAGTGGGACCAGTGGAAGTGATTGCACCCAGAATTAAGCCAGAATAAAGGTCTTCTCTTCATGACCAGCCTCCCTCCTCCTTCACAGCTCTTCACTGTGTCCATGGGCTTTCCCTCATCAGTCCTTTTTGATCTTCTAGCCATCAAGGAAGAAGTGCTGCAGGAGAGGCCCACTGTCAACCAGACACTGGCCGAGGTGATCACGGAGCAGGCCAACCTCAGTGTCAGCGCTGCCCACTCCTCTAAAGTCCTCTACGTCATCACCACCAGCCCCAGCCATCCACCGCAGAGCGTCCCAGGTAGCAACTCCTGGGCACCAGCAGTAGGGGCTGGCAGCCACAGAGTGGAAGGTAGTGCTCTTGGTGGGTGGTTACAGAAACAAAAGTGCTCTTGGGTCTTCTTCAGAGGCAGATTGGGGTTCTGACTGTGTGACCTCTAGCTGAGCCAGTGGAGCTGGAGAGGGCCATCAGCAATGACTTAGCCTAGGGGTTTCACACTTTTCCCCTAACCATGCAGAACCCACCATAGAAGGCCAAGGAGGAGGGCCTCTCCAATACTCAATCACTCTGCATCATTTCACTGTGGGCCCATCAGGATTTTATAGATCATGCAGCTCATTCTTTAAATGAGAAAATTGAGTCCAAAGACTGTGTAACTCACCAGTGGTGACACAGTGGTTCTAGTGGTAAAGACAAAAGGTACTCCCCACTTTGATTCTGATCATACTAATTATACTGCTTACCTCTACCCCAAAGGGAATTTCTAGAACAGAGCAAGGTACTGAGAAAGCCAGGGACTCCATGCTTAGCCCAGCTCAGCTGCTCCCACCACCACCTTTGCTTCCTGCCCGCTACCTGTGGAAAGCTTCTCAACTAGACCTGCACCTCTGAGGTGCAGACCTCCTTTGGAAATTGATGCACAATCAGGATCGGTAAATGTCTTTTACACTTGCAGGATGGACAGTGTATGGCCTGGCAACCCTCCTCATCCTCACAGTCACAGCCATTGTGGCAAAGATACTTCTGCATATCACATTCAAGTGAGTACAAGAGAGCTGCCTGATTCCAGGAAGGGGAAGGCTCAACATTCCTTTTCTCCTATGCTTCATTTGTCTGCATGCAGTTGTAACATCATAACATGATTCCAAAGCCTTGAGTCCTACACAACATAAGGCATTTTACTCCTCTGTAGAGTGAAATGTACAACTGGACAAATCTCATTAAGGTTCGAGGGATCATGTTCATTCCTGTGTCCAAAGGATATAGTTTCAGGGAGGATTGAAACAATCTTGGCATAAAAAAGAACAATTTCCACTTTTTGTGCTGGTTCTTTATAGAGCTTTTCTTTGTAAGAGTAAAGATTCCTAAGACAATGCTATGGCTTTTCCTTGGGCCTTCAAGAAATAAGAAACAGTCTTAGGGAGAGAATCCTAACATTTTATTAACTATTGATAATTATTTTTAAACAATCATCTAAGTAACTTATAGCATCTTTATCCTTCAATTCTAACCAATTTGGGAAAAAATATTTCCTTTACTTATTTTGCTGGTAGGGTTTAATAGTTTTACCTTCCAGGAAAGGGGCAACTGTTTATGTTACTTATGTTTATGTTACTGTATACTTACAGAGCAGAGTTCTTTCTTATTTTTTCTTGACCCAGACGCTTGTCTTTCTTGAGCTTCCTCATCCCGGCTCTCCCCATTTCAAAGCCTTCCTGAGCACCAGTGTCCAGTAAAAGCCCTGTTTCCTGACCTTCTCATTTGCCGTACATTAAATGTGGGATCCTCTGTTGTCCCATGAAGGCTACCTTTGGCTGGCCATGCTGTGATGACCTTACTTAGACATCTCCTTCCTAGACATGAAATCTTTCAGCAGAAACAATGCCTTGTTATTGTTTATTAAGCTCACTCTCATGTCTTACACACACACACACACACACACACACACAATGTTCCTTAGTATATGTGTGACTCTGGTTCCAGGAACCCTGTCCACATGTTCCCTGCAGCAGCAAGAGAGCAGGTCGCTTTCTGTAGGTCCAGGATCTCTCAGCATGGCTGAGACCTTACAGTGGGTGCCTAACTCCCCTCTGACATTGGAATCTTTCTGTAGCTTCCTCCCCTAGCAGCTTGAGGGGCTTGCAGGGATGGTGTTAGGCAGGTCCCTACTTGAGGCAGAAAAATTTTGCCCTTACCCTGTTTTAGCTAAGTGGGCTTCCAGGTAAATGGGATTTGAAGACAGGGTGTGAGTTTGTTTGTTTGTTTGCTTATTTGAAAACTCATTATCTCCCAGGCCAGCCTTTTCAAGACTGGAATATTCTGCCAGTTATTCCAAGAAGGACTCTGCCCTGCTACACTGCCCTTATGTCCCCTGATAGCCACATTACATCTGCACAGTAGTCCTCCAGATCTTTAAAGAAAGCCATTAGGTCCTGCCTAAGACCTGCCCCATTGGACACATTCTGTTTTATGGGTACAGGTGCCTCATGAGTTGGTAGGCTGTTTGAACATGAAGTTATTTTTCTTTGACAGAGCCCATCGTGTTCCTGCTTCAGGGGACCTTAGGGATTGCCGTCAACCAGGACCTTCAGGGGAAATCTGGAGCATTTTTTATAAGCCTTCTACATCGATTTCCATCTTTAAGAAGAAGCTCAAGGGTCAGAGTCAACAAGATGACCGTAATCCCCTTGTGAGTGACTAAATGCCCTCGTGCCTAGGACATGAGGTCCCTCTTTCAGCTCAAGGCTGCTGGGGTTGACCTTGCCATGGTTCTCCTCTGACAGAGACCAGCTCTTCCCTGCCTCTCCCTCCTCAGACTGAGAAGGGGCACCATGCTGCAGGGCAGCAGAACCCAGATTCCTCCTGCTTCATCAGCTACACTTGGGAGAGAGACTCAAAGCCCAGCACCTGGCCTTCCCTGCGTCTCTCTCTTGTCTAGCAGTGGAGATGTCACACAGTGGGGGCCAAGATGACAGAGGTGGTGGCAGCTGGCATTGGGCTCAGGTACATTCTAGATGACTGCTGGGTGCTGGGTAGGTTTAGTGTATATTGAATTTTTCTTCTCTGTTTTGTCCACACACAGATCAGTTTGCTCTGGTCTTTAGTTTGGAACAGGGCCAGACTGGAAGAATTCAGTTCTCTTGAGGGCTGGCCTGGTTCCACACAAGTATGGACTCCTGGGCATTAGCAGTCCCAAATCCTGAAGAGGGCTGGTGCTCTGTACTGACCCTGGAGCTTTGCTGTCTGAGTGCTGGACTAGGATGGGCCCATTCCAGAGGGCCTGAGAAGAGGGTCTAGTGAGCCCCCATTCATGTCAAAGCTGCTGCCTTCCACACACATGCTTTTTTCTAGAGGCTTCTTTCTGCAGCTCAGTGAGCTATGGAGCAAGCTTGATGGGAGGGCATATAAAATATCCACTGCTTTATCCCTGCTACAGACTCTACTGGAAGTATTTATAGGCACTCAGTAACTCCTTTTGAATTGGATTTTTTTGGTGGGGGCCAGTACAGGGGATTGAACCCAGGGCCTTGCACATGCTAGGCAAGTGCTCTACCACTGCACTGCATCTCCAGCCCTTTTCATCTTTTATTTTTTCCGGAAATCAAACTCAGGACCCCGCACTTGCCAGGCAGGCATGGTGCCACTGAGCTAAATCCCCAGCCCTCATCTTATTTTGAGACAGGATCTCACTAAGTTGCCAAGGCCAGCCTTGAACTTATGATGCTCCTGCCTCAGCACCCCCATATAGCTGGGCTTACAGGACTGTGCCACTGCACCCAGCTGTGAATTGTATTTATTTGGGCTGGCCCCTGAGAAGTTCATGGTCCTGTGGAACCTGAGCCAGGCCTTGGGCTTTCTGTTCACTCAGCTGACTCTCAGTTCAGAACAGGGAGTATAAAGACTGGCATAGCCTTTTAGGCAGCATTGTGGCTGAGACCTGGGGCCTGTAGACCCTACTTTAAAACAAGATAAAAAACACCCTGAGGGCTATGTGCTCTGCCTTTTCTTATGAGAACCCAGTGGAATTATGAGTGACTCTGTGGGGAAGAAGAGGGCTCTTATCCCTGGCCCCATGCCACATTGTCCCTCACACAGAGAGGTGACCTACAGAGATTGAGGCAAGGAGAAGGGAGGGCTTGGGAACTGGAGATCCTCCAAGGACAGGCCTGAAGATTGAGAGCTCCAGCTGCAGTGGCTGGTAGTTGTGAGAATAAGTGCCATCTCTAATTTAGAGGTCCTGCCATCCGGAAGCAGGCTTTGTCAACAGCAGCTGAGAAGAGCAGCCCATGACCCTGTCAGAGCATGGCTTTCCTGCAGGCACTCGAGCCTTAGTGCTTACGTGCCTCTGCCTTCTCAGGTGCCCTCTTTGGCTCTGAGCCTACCTTCCTCAGATCCCTAAGCCACTGCCTGCAGTGGCCTTTCCTGGGATTCCAGCAATCCATCTGCACCTGGCTGCTCCAGGAGGACAGAAGGTTGTACGGTGCCAGCTGGGTAATGTCTGCTGGCAGAGGTGACATTTGACAACATGAGCCCAGGAGAGACGTTCAGGGCCAGTAAGCAGAGGGGCATTCAGAAGAGAGAAAAAGGGCAGTATGCCCACAGGTTGGCAGAGCACTGGCCCAGGTCCTGTGCAAGACTGCTGAGGGCTAGGAGCCTCTGGGTGTTGTCTTTCTACTTTGATTGGGAAAGGGTGGTCATCCTGAAGCAGCTGACCACAGGCCCCTGAGTCCAGATACAGAGGCCTGTAACACACAAGGACCACTGGAAATAGACTGATACGTGCAGTTTCCCCTCCAAGCTATTTGTGGCTTTTGTGGAATCTCCTGTCAAATGCTGGTGTCAGGTGTGGGCAGTCACAAAGGGCCTGTACTGTGAATAGCTCCATGTACATCTCCAAGGGAATGTGGAATTTGTCCCTGGGAAGGGCTGGCCTGGCCAGGGGCATTTGCTCAGTTGCCCTGGGCTAATGCTAATCACTGGTCTTGAGCTTCCTGAAGGCCACTCGCCCACCCTGTCTTCTACCCTCCTCACATCTCAGGACACAGGAGGCCATGCCCCAGCCTGGTGTTGTCTGAGTGGAAGCTGGAGGAGCCTTTTCGCAGAGGCCCCAGGAAGGTCAGGTGATGCCCCTGTACTCCTACTCCTGCTTGGCCTGGGCACAGCCTAGCACCTCCAGGACCAACTTCCTCTCCAGGGAGCAGCCCCAGGAAACCCAGACCCACCTCAGGACAGCACTGGGGGAGGAGGGCTGTAAAGTGACCCAAGCCCAACACCATAAATGCCTGGCCATGGGCGGCCTCAGTTAGAACACGTCTGCAGCATCCCTATGGCAAGTAAACACCGGAGAAATAAAATTATCTCAGCTGAGGTGAGCCATGCTTCCAGGAGCCTTGGAGGAGAAGGCACTTGATCTTTTAAGAAACACCTTTAGAAGAGAGGAGCGGTTGGAAGGGACTGGAAAGGGGTGACCCTGAGGAAAGTAAATGACAACACAGCAGAAGACCTTAAAAGAGGCAGGGGAAGGCTCAGAGCCTTTCTCAAGGGGATAGAATGTGGCCTCTCCTCAGCCCTGTGGATGGCAGTACCCAGCCTACCCTCCTGAATGTGCACCCACCAAAGTGTTGCTCCTGTGGTGGCTATACCTCATTCAGCTGGGGCCCAGCTGCCTAGTGTCTAGCAGCGTCTCACTGCCCTTGGTCCCTCTGAGGAGGCTGACAGGAGGTCCTGGGTACCCTTGCTCTTCCCCGCTTGTCCAATCTATTGCAAAGCAGAGGCTGCACAGGAGTGAACCCCGTGCCTTTCCCCACATCAGTCACCACTGGGTTGAGGGCTCTGGCTCCAGACTTCTGTCAGCCAGCAGCCCATGAAGATCAAAGTACTCCCTGTCCTGGCCCTCAGGTTGAACCAGTGGGGCGTGCCTGGGCCCGTAGCCACCACTACGCCCCAGGCAGCCCAGCCAGGAGCCTGCCTGACTTTTCTTGGGATGTGGATCTGGATCTGGCTGCTGGTCTGACCAACCGGGCACACAACTGGCCATCACCCAGCTCCTGTGGGCACCATGCACTTAATCTTCACAAGCACTTAGAAGTGGACAGCCTTCCAGACCTGGCCTCCTAGAGCCTGGCCAGACCCCCTCTCACAGCTCAGTCATCTGGGGCTCCCTTGGGTTTCAGATCTCCTGTTTGATGTTTGATGTTGGCTTTTGTTACTCCCTTGGGAATTTGTAACACTTTGATTGTTTCTTCTGGTGTCTTTGTTTACCTTCTTCACTGTTCTACCTCCTGGCCAGGTCTCTCAATTTAGCTGCCCTGGTGTGGGGTGCTTTTCAAACCTTCAGCTGCCACTTGCTCCCCTCAGGCTGGACAGCTGGGGGGTGGGGTGGGAGAGAGACAGACCCCAGCCGGGCCATGGCACAGGCTCCTGTCTTGTTGAGCAGGGGTTGAGCACACTCTGTGCTGAGGGAGATATGGAGCAGGTGGAGGAGGGCAGTCAGAGGTGAATCTCCTGCTTCAGAAGGGAAGTGTCCTAGGAGGTCCCTTTCCTGCCTGTGCAGGGGTTGCCATCCCTGGAGTTCACATGGGGCCAGGACCTTCCCACATTCAAAGTTGCTTCCCAGCGGGGATTTTGACTTTGGATGACAAGGCTTTATTTGTAAATATGCTCTTAATATGCAACTTTGAGAATAAAATAGAAACATGTATTTTAAAATATAAAATGAAGTGTGATGCACTGTATACAATTTAATATATATTTTTAGGATTTTGTTATTTAAGAAAATGGAATGTAATGGTACTTTTACAAAAGAGAGAAAAATGTTATTTTTACTGTCTGGAGAAAATAAATATTCTCATTGTTGTAGAAACAGTGGTGGGTCCTAGGCTGCTGTTTTATGGGAGCTCCTCCAGAGCCCAAGGCATGACAGGGAAGCAAGGAAGGCTGATAGATAGTCTTAGCCCTTCCCAAGCACCAGTCCTCACCACTGGCTCACTTTCTCCCAGTCGTGTCCCAGGGTTCCTCAGGTCTTGTTGCTGCCTTGATGAAATCTGATCAAGGGGCTAAGAGCTGAACACGAGGACTTCCTGTCAGCACACTGCACTGCTGGCGCTTGGGAGGTCGGGAAAGAGCCCGGCTCTCCCGTGAAGATATACAGGTTTGGCCTGGCCTTGAGCCAGGCCATGCACTTGTCAGCCTCAGGTTATCCACCTGGAAATCCTAATCTATACCTCTGGAGGCTGTGAAGATTAGGAGAGAAAATGTATCTAATACACTTGTGTAATTACCCCCTTGGAATTGGCCTTGCTCTCAGAGCAACGGATTCCTCCTTCCCATCTCTTTTTCTCCCCACCCTTTCCCTTTGGTTATTTTCAGAAGGGCTCTTGCTGTGTTTCCTAGGCTGGTCTCAAACTTCTGAATTCAAGTGATCCTCCTGTCTCAGCCTCCTGACTACAGGCACAGGCCACCATGCTCAGCTCAACCTTATGCTTTTTGTAATATTCATAGGACCACAGGTGTGTGTTGCCCACTACGCACCAGGCACTCTGTTAGGCACTGTTTATATCCTAACATTCCTTTCCAATGGGTATCACTGCCCCTGTGTGCAGTGAGGGAATGGGCTCAGCAGGGCAGTGTGAAGTGTAGTTGAGAGTACAGCCCGGGAGTCAGACTGCTGGGGTTTAGATTCCCCCTTTATTAGCTTGAGGCCTCAGAGAGTAAAACAGACCTGGAAGTGTTGTAGTGCAGGAATGATACAGATTCCAGTTTAGTAAAATGTCCTCCTTGTATTCAGTAAACCAGACTGGAGTAAGAGTGCAGGCAAGGAGATCAGTCAGGAGGCACAAGAGTACACAGTCCAGCCAAGAGATGCCAGGGGCCTGATAACCCCCCAAAGAAGCAATAAGGCAAGTCACGCCCATAGGTCAAGGGCCACAAAAATGGGTCACATCTGACCAATCAGGGCAATTATAGTGCCTGCCTTGGTGATGCAGGAGGGTGTATGAGTGATTACCCATGGTATTTTTCAATCAGTGGTAGCTGTTCTGTTCATTCTAGAATAGGGGCAGGGTGATATACAGATATTCTGACCTAGTGCCTGGAAGGGGGGAGGGACTGCTCCTAAAGGAACATAGAGGCACCAGGTGTGAGAGGAAACCTGATGAGCTACATTTGGGCTGAGTCCAGGGGAAGCCCTGTGGGCCACCAAGGCAGAGCCATCCATTGGGCACTGGACAGATGGCCTAAGACCACACAAGGATCAAGTGTAAAGAGCACAGTCTACGGAAATATGCTTAAGGTCAGTGTCTGGGATGACCCCAGGAGATTGCCAAGGACAGTGTCTTGGGACACACTGAGACAGGTGAGGGGCACCTGGGCAGGACCAGGCTTGGGTGGGGGGGTTCCCCAAAGCCAGGGATCCCTGAGCATGGTTTCTGACCTGACTGGTTCAGGTACGCACAGATTGCTAGTTCTTTTGAGTCCCAATTCCAAATTCACAGGAGCTGATTTGGCCAGTTCAGTCTCCTAAGTCCAGCCAGATTTACTAGGTATGTAGGGATTTTGGAGAAAAGGGCACATGGACCGGTCCAACTTGAGAATCTCACCACCTCTGACACAGACATGTTTTCTCAGAGTGTGGTTCCCAGGGACCTGTGTGCTTGATCAAATTGAGTGCCTAGGCCCTGCCCCAGACCTATCACATTGGCCTCCCTGGGAAGGTTCCCAGATAATTCCAGTGCCCACCAGGGCCTGACCACTAGTTCAATTTATCTGAGAAATCTGATCGCAGTCATCTTTTTTGCAATGAATTGTCCACATGCAGCCGTGCAAGTGAAGTTCTGATCTCTGCCTCCCTCACCCATGCAGGTATGTTTGTTACTCGGCTGCAAACACTGTTTCAGCCCAGAGATCCTTTGCAGGGCAGACAGGTGCACGGCAGGGGATGTGTATGCAACACGGCAGTTACCCAGGTGCTTCTCTGCAAGGGCCATCACCTGGGCATGAGCTGTGTGCTCCTCCTTCCCACCCCCCCCCACTGCCGCTGCCCTTGCAGTAGGAAATCTGGCACTTTTAATGTCTGCCTTCACTTGAGTGTTTATCTTCACTCAGCCTTCCTCCTCTTTCCCAGAAGCTCTTTCCTTCCATGAAGGAAAATATTTTTAATGGCAGGAAATGGCTGGTGGAAAGCAAACAGGGTGGCCTTGCTGGTGAATTTCTTAGAGACAAATTGGGCGGCAACAGAAAAATAAATAAATAAATGTGGCCAGAATGTTCAGCTGTTCAGTCAAAAGAATCCCCTTTGGATTATGGGACAATGGTGCCAGGAAGAGACCACCCCAACCCATTTGAGTGGACTTTAGGGACCACTGGCCTTTGGTTTGTTTTGTTTTGCTTTTGAGACAGGGTCTCACTCTGTAGTTCAGACTGGTCTTGAACTCACTTACGTAGCCCATACTGGCCTCAAACTCACAGCGATCATCCAGCCTCAGTCTCCAAGTGCTGGGATCACAGGTGTACGCCACCATACCCAGCTTGGGACCACTGGCCTTGTCCTCACTTTGTCAAACATCCCCAAGGCCCACCCCCAGGAGCCAGCACCAGGGTAGCATCAGTTTCATCCTTTGTCAGGTAATCAAAGCCTCTTCTTCCTGTGTGGAGGGAAAGGGCTGCACAAGGATGACCTTGTCTCCAAGCCTGAGAATCACATAGCAATCTGCACTGAGCATGCGTGTATAAAAGTGCAGACAGTCTCTTGGACTCAGAAAACTGGAAAGCTTTTGTTCCTTTGTGGCTGGGATGGATCTCCATGGGGGTTTGTCTTTGCTCTGCCAAAAGGGGCACTTTGGGAATAAAATATTTCACCCACAAAAAAATGCAGTATTTGTCCGTAGCTGGAAATCTTCACTTCTGGTCTCCAGCTGTTGTCCGGAGCCAGGCCCCTGCTAAGTGGGCCTACAACCCTTGCCTGGAGGCAGGCAGTGCTGGGCTATGCTGGATGTGAAGCAGCTTGTGTCTGCAAGACCCATCTCTAGGACAGCTTGGCTACAGGGATGCCCTGTGCCCTCCCACTGGGCTCTGGAATGAACCTGTTAGCTCAGGGTGGCTGGTTTGGGAAATTGGCTCCAGGAAAAGAATTTTAAGGAGAAATGAGATCCTAACTCCTTGGTAAAGCCTGAAATAGTACAGGCTTTTGCCTGTATTTGTATTTATTTCACAATGAAGACCATCTACCATTGTCCCTGTTTAAACAAGGCCACTGAACATATAAAAACATGATTGGGGACCTGCTACTTTAAGTATTTCTCATGTTTAGTTAACTTGCTTAAGTTGCTAGTACCAAAAGTATAGATGAGGAATATGCAAGGGGAATTCAAATCTCTTGTTTAACCAAATACAGGGGCAGCTTGCTTTTCTTTCTCACTTTTTGCAGTAAAGGATGGAAACCAGGGCCTTGTGCATGCTAAGTATTCTGCCACTGAACCACACCCTATCCCTTTTTTCTTTTTGAGACAAGTTCTCACTAAATTGTCCATGCTGGCTCAAAGTTGTGATCCTCTTGGCCCAGTCTCTCCAGTAGCTGGGATAATAAGGATGGGGCACTGCACCCAGCATTTGGGGGGGGGGGGTACTGGAAGTTGAGCCCAGGGCCTTTGCATTGAACTATATTCCCAGTCTTTTTTTTTTTATTTGAAGGCAGGATCTTGCTAAATCACTAAGTTATTGTTATGGGTAATATCTAGATGTACCCCTGTCAGTTAATGTATACTAGACAAACAGATATAACATGAGATATACAAATAGATAAGAATTTACAAGATTGGCTTACAGTGGCCACCCACAGAGTCAGATGTGGAAGAGTGCAGAGGGTCTGTCTGCACACTGGAGACCAAAGGATTCAGTCAAAGGTCTGGAGCTCACAGCAGTTTCCCATGCAAGTCAATATCAGGAGGCCGATGGGTCTGCGATGAGAGGCTGAAGAGTTCAGGCCAGAAGCCTGAGGGATCTGCACCGGCAGCTGAAGGGTCTGCACTGGAAGCCAGGAGATGACATCCAAGGTGAAGGCAAAGACTGGAGCTCCTCTAAAGAAACAGAAGCAAATCCGTCAATCATTTCCCCTTTATACCATCCAGGCAGCAAGCTACCCTGGGATGTAGAATTGCTGAGCCAATTTAGTTGAGCTTCTCTTACTGAAATTGACATAATCAATCAACCATCACAACCCTCAGGTGCTCATAGGTGGGGCTTTGAGGAGGTGACTGAATCATGGGTGTGATACTGGATTAGTCCAGTGATTGGTTTAGCATAGTTCTGAATATGGAGGATGGATTTACTGAAGAGGGAAGATCCACACTGGGTGCAGGTGGCATCAACCAATAGGCTTGTAGGCTGGATAGAACAGAATAGAAT